TTCTTAGTACATCATTTGTTTCATCTTTTGAATTTAGCTTATTTGTTGTTTTGCATTCTGTTGGTCTTTTTTATGTTTCAGTCCATTTTGCTTTGAATTGAAAAATTATTTAAAGTCCTTGAACCATAAGGCATAGAAAAGGACTCATAGGTAGCCTTATGCCTTGCTACAATCGCTTGAATAGTTAGAATTTTAGAACCTTATTCTGGTTTGAATAGGTAAGGTCATATGTGTTTAGATTTTAAGTCCACTCAAACTTTAGCACACCCACAATCTGAAAATATGCCAAACAAAGAGTAATGCACAAAAATTACATATAAAACAAGTGCTTCAAAACTTAATATATCGAAGTGTTAATCTTCAAGATCACACAATTTTATTTATTTTTTTGGTTCTTCTATTCTTGCTTCCTGATTCAAACTTTTGGAGGCCTTATAAAAGGTCTCTCATTGAAAGCAATAATACATAGAATTTAATTAGGGTAGTTGATTGGTGAGGGGAAGCCATTACATCGGTGATGTGTGTTTATCCACCCCATGTGATGTGTTTTCGACACTCCCCTAGGATGACCATTATATTAAGATAGTATTGGATGCACAAATACTACCTCATTAAAACATTGCCCAGTAAATTTTAGTGGAATAAAATCTAAATGAAGTAAAAGTACAAAGTGCAAAATTGTCTTATATCTTGATGTGGATACCCCCCCTCCCAACTAAGATTTGTTCCTTTATAAGAAGATCAATTGAGTTGATCACAAACACAATGCATTCTAATACCGTATACCAACTATTTGAACGTTGATGATGGTAAAACTTTAATGAATATATATACAAGATTATCAGTTAATCATATTTGTTTTACTTCAATTTCGTAATTATGCTGGAGTTCATGAGTGTAGAATTGGTGATATCTGCTTAGTTCTGTCATCTTCAATAAATCCTCCTTTTTTTTTGTGCGATACAAACAATATCATCTTCATACAACATTTTTGGCGAATCTATAATTGAAGGGAGTCTACGTGTACTTCAGATATGATGAATTGTAGATCTTAGTCATATATATTCACAACTAGCTTTATAAAGTGCTAGTACTTTATAATAACTAAAGGATGTAGCAATCAAAATTTGTTTTATAGATTGCCATGAGATTTTTGTATTACCACATGTGAATACATACTTGGTTTGTAAACGAGCCTTCGAAGAAATATCCAGAACTGGATAACTTACTAAATTTGGACTTTGACTAGTTGCTTTGAATATAACAAGCCAAAATATGTCGTTCCACGGAGATAATGTAAGTTGTGTTTTCTACCATTCTAATATTGTCAAGTTGGCAGAGAACTATATCTTGCCAATAAATTAATTGCAAATGTTATATTAGACCTAATAAGTATAACAAAGCTCATATTGCATGTAGTTATGGTACTTCTGGACCAAAAAATATTTCATCTTCTTCTTTAGGAAGATAAGGATCTTTCTTGATATCAAGTGATCGAACGACCATTAGAGTACTTAACAGATGTCTTATCCGTATTAAATCAAGACATGACCTTTTTGATATAGGTTGTTTGATGGATAAGAATTCTATTGGATGTATGCTCATTCTACTAGCCGAGATAATATTTTGTTTTCCCAGGATCTTTCATCTCACATGCTCATTTCAAATATTCAACAACTTTCAGCAACTCTTTAGGAGTTTCAATCAGATTCACATCATCAACATATATTGCAATAATTGCAATCCAGAATATGATGTTTTTATACACACACACGGGCATATGAGATGATTAACATACCATTCTTTTACCTAGTACTCATTGAGACGATGATACCACATTCTGCTAAATTGTTTTAATACATACAAGGACCATCTTAATTTAATTGAGTACATATTTTGTGTTTTGATGTATTTGCTTCAGATAATTTCTGTCCTTCAGGAACTTTCATATAAATACCAGTATCTAGGATTTTCATACAAATGTGCAGTAACTACGTCCATAAGACACATGCTGAGTCTTTCTAAGACTGCTAGACTAATCAAATACTGAAATGTAGTTACATGCATTACCAATATGTTTTCTCAAAATCAATCTCGCATCTCTGTAGGAACTCTTGTATCATAGTGCATTCTTTATATCTTGTGATCTCATTTTTTTCATTTCATTTTCTAGTGAATACCCATTTATAACCTATTGGTTTTATACTATTAGGTGTTAGTACTACAAGTCCAAATGTTTCACGCTTTTCTAAATAATTCAATTTTGCTTGGATTGTTTGGTTCAAGAACATCATCATTTAATATTTTAGTAGCCAGTAAAAAAAAAAAAGAATACATCAAAAATAACTATTTTTTTGTGGTCCGACAATTCTCTTTTTCATGCGTAGTTAATAAAAAAGTTCTTTATTTTGCACTACATCTCTTCAGGAGTAAATGTTTCCTTAGGGGATTTTTTCCTCTTTAGGAAATTTATCTTCTTTAGAAGATTTTATTTGAGATAATGTGGGTGCATCTTGGTTTTCTAACTCAACAATTTCTTTAAGAGTCCTATATAATTGGCCTTTTGTTCTCCTTTTCAAGAGAACTGAATCTTTTGGACTTATGGTTCATCCATGCTTTAGGCATGCATCTGACAATTCATTTGTTGCCATAGGTTTTCCAATTGGAATATCAACTTTATTGGAGTATCCATGGCTAGTATTTATGATTTCGTCACTTTTGCTTCATCAATAAATGCATCATGCAATTGATTAACAATTTTTTGTAGATGTATGATTTTTTATACCTCAGTTTCACATTGAGAAGTGCGTGGATCAAAATGAGGCATAGATTTTAAATTTCAAGAAAGTTCATACTAATTTTCTGGCGGTGAATTTCTTCCCCCTAATGATGAGAATTGTGTCTCATTAAAATGATCATCCGCAAATCTTGTGACAAAAATATCACATGTCAAAGGTTCAAGATGTCTAATAATTGTAGGTGAATATATATTCTAAATTGATGTTGAGGACCTATTTTAGTACGTTGTGGGAATGCAATTGGGACATGTACAGTGCAACCAAAAGTTACTAAATGAGAAATATTTAGGGGTTGACCAAACACGAGTTGTAGAAATGAATAGTAATGGTAAGGACTTGGTCGGATGCGAACTAAGTCGACCACGTTTAAATTGACATGTCCCCAATTAGAAATGAGTAACTTTGTCCTAGTAAAGGTCAAGCAATAAATTAAAGGTTTTTTGATAAAAGACTCAGGTAGACCAGTTTATCAATTGATAGGTATGAAGGGATAAGAAAAATATTTCAGTTGTTTAAGTGTTTCAAGGTCTTCAAGATCATGCAAAAACATGAAGTTGTAAACTTTTTTTCGGCACCTCTGCAGTTCCATGCGATTATAGGCACATCATGGCTTTGCTTCAAAATTCAAAGAAGGGAAATATCATTCATGTTGGATGAAACCATATCAAACAATTGGGTTGCTAGCCCTTTGTTATGTGCGTGTGTGAGAGAGGGGGTGAGGTAAACATGTGAGAGATAAAGATGATTAGAAGAGAAAGACATGATAGAGAGACATGGAGTCATGAAAGAGTGACTCCTATTTATTTGATAAATAGGAGCTCCTAATTATCTGAAAAATACAACATTTTTGATCATTTATTCGCATGGACCTACAGACAACTAATTCTCTAGTCAGTCCTTTCTTCGGCCACCTCTTTCATCGAAGGAAGAAGAAATAAAAAAAAAACTTCCAGGCGAACAGAGACTAAAGACTCAATCGTATGGATATATAAAATATAAAATTTCCAATCATAGTAGGAAAGGGAGGATCAATATGAGAAAGATGCGCTCAAGCATGCAAAGATAGTTAGTCGTACTCAACAAGCATCCAACACAAGAAAGGTGCTTGTTTTCGTTTATTGAAAATTCTGATGGAAAAATCGTCATCTCTTGAAAGTTGCTAGAGGATTGTTGTTGATTAGTGATCCCAAATCGAGCCTAATGCCTAGAGACTTTATTTAACTTAGGTTGATTTAGGCCAGAGGTAGACCTATGTCAAGATAACCCTTTTTTGAAACACTTTGGTATAAACAACTAGAAACTACAATAATAGAATAACATTAAAAAAGAAGTCATTTCACTAAGAAGTGTCTAAAGACAAAAGTTTTATATGATCAAACTAGATTTTTCGGAACGATTTCAACCCCCTCCCCTTCTCNAAGTGTCTAAAGACAAGTTTTATATGATCAAACTAGATTTTTCGGAACGATTTCAACCCCCTCCCCTTCTCCTATGTTGTGAAAGTAAATTAAGGAAGATCTATAATTTGAGAGACAACAAAAAAACCTTCAATTGAATTTCAATATGACATGAATAAATTAAATATTAAAAAGTTAAACATTATTAATTAATTACTGATGGAGGGAGAGGACACTAAATCCCTCCCCTTCCTTAACATTATAAAAAACAATTATCTAAAAAAATCAAAATATATACAATTACGAAAAAATTGTTTACATAACCAGAATTTTCTACTTTTTTTTTAGGGGAAGATTAAACTTGGTGATAATTTTCGTGTGATCCTTGCTCCAAAAGGCTAAAAAAAAAATTGAAAATCTCTCTCGGTGACACATGGCATAATATCCACATTGTTTTCTCACCTTAACCCATTTTATAAATTATATATGAAAAAGATTATTTAGAACTAATTTAGGGACCTAAAAATTTAATTTAATATAATCATTGAATTGATTATAAGTTTAATTTAATATTAAAATTCACAATTAATTCAATGGTATATTAAAACCACGGNTCTAATTTAGGGACCTAAAAATTTAATTTAATATAATCATTGAATTAATTGTAAGTTTAATTTAATATTAAAATTCACAATTAATTCAATGGTATATTAAAACCACGGGTTGCTAAATTAGGTCATTGCTCATTATATATACAGCTAACGGCTTACAGAAAGCAGCAAACATACTCGGATTAACCATCAAAATGGACGACAGAGGAGGAGGAGCCGAGTCGAACTTGGTTCCCAGTTCCGACTGGGCCGAGTTGACTCATGAGTGCCTACTCAATATCCTTTCACGCCTCAGTGTCGAAGATCGATGGCGGAGAGTCATGTTGGTCTGCAAATCGTGGCTACACGCCATCAGAGATCCGAGTCTTTACTCGGTCTTCGACCTCGACACCCACTTCGACTCGGTCCTTGAGTCANTCAGTTCCGACTGGGCCGAGTTGACTCATGAGTGCCTACTCAATATCCTCTCACGCCTCAGTGTCGAAGATCGATGGCGGAGAGTCATGTTGGTCTGCAAATCGTGGCTACACGCCATCAGAGACCCGAGTCTTTACTCGGTCTTCGACCTCGACACCCACTTCGACTCGGTCCTTGAGTCACCCGCCTGGTGGACCCCCGAGTTTGAGCGAAAAGTCGACGCTATGCTCCGATCCGTCGTCGTCTGGAGTGATGGGTCTCTGAAGGAAATTCGCGTCAGACATTGTTCAGATCGGTCTGTGTCTGTGGTTGCGGAAAGGTAAATATAATTTTCAGAACTAGGGTTTGATTTTAATCATATGAGGATTTTTGGATCTCTTGAATGTTAGTGTTTTTGCTGAATTTAATTGGGCTAGGGCAGTTTTTGGCAGGGATCAAAAAATATCGTTTCGAATTAATCAAAATTTTCGTTTTTAAGTTGACCAAAACGAATCAGTAATAAAATTAAAATTTTAATACTTCGAAGTGTGTCATAATATTTTAAAAAATTTTGTTATATTTTGACGTATTTACACAATTATTTGGAAATGTTTCAAATGTTTTAAGTTATTTTGGTATATTTCAATGGCTGTTTTGAAAATATAATTCTTAAATTTTTTATTTTTTTCTATTTTATTTCTGAAACAGGCGAAATACGTGGAAACTTTTATGTTTTTTTAAGTTACCGAAACAATGCGAAGCCAAATTTTGATCCTTGGTTTTTGGATAACTGAAAATGGGGTGTTATCTGATTTCATTTATCATGTTGGAATTTCTTTGAATAACCGTTGAATGGTTCAGTTAGGTTCTGATGGTAATACTGTTGGGTTTTAATATTTCTGGTTAAATTTTAATAAGACCAGGAAGAAGAATAAAAGGTTTAATCAAATTCCCTCTTCCAGGGGAAACACTCTATTGATACAATTCAAGAGAAAGTAAAATTCTGTGATGCCTTTCTTCCCACAGAGAGACCAATAAATCCTGTCTGCTGAGCATTATCAGCTCCTAACTACGAGCAATCCACTCTTAATTTCTGGCACTACTTTACTCATCTGATTTCTTCCTGCAATCACACAATCACTGTTATTGCCTCCTGCAGTTCTGCTATCCTCACCGCTGAATGATCCTTGCTACTGATGAGCCAATCAGCTGTATAGAATGCTTGATATTCTCATCTGATGCAGAACAACTCTACCCGTCTCAAGCCAAGATAAAAGAGGAGGGTTGTGTTAAGTAGCCGAGAGCCAGCTTAAAATTTTGTCGGATCCACTATGATGAGTCCAAAGCGAAGACGGACTCATGTAATCAATTCCCAAATGATTGGGACATAAGACTTAGTTTGGTTAACATTGTTTAAGGTTGCGGTATCGACCATTAACTTGGAGAGTTCTGAGACATATCGGTCACGGTGTCACGGCGCAGTATTGAGCAATACAACCAAAAAGAAAATGTTGAACATGACGAAGAATTCAGGTCATATCGCGGAGTCGTTAAACCGTATTGGTCAATTTAGTGACGATATTTTGGCGATTAGAGATTGATTCGGATATATCTCGAACAACTCGGTCGAGTTGTGTGAGACTTGGGATTTATATGTATCGTGTAACGGTATCATATCCGAAGGTGTCGAGACGGATATAACTCGGTTGAATTGTATTGATATCATCCGATACTTTGAACCATGTTAGTTAGTTTATGCATAACAATCCATCCCTCCCGAAGCAGGCCTTGTCCTAAGGCCAAAATGCAAGAAAACACCGTTCGATGTCATGCTCATATTCCCATGTAGCATCTTTTGGGAAGCTTTTGTTCCGGTGAATCAATACTTGTGTGACTGCCCTATTATTCTACTTTATCAACCATTGGTCCAGAATCGCCAATGGTTCAAGTTTCATTCTACCATCATCATCTAACTGGGTAGCACTGTCTGGACAGTCACCTGTTTTGCGACTTTCTTCTTCAGACATGAAACATGAAACACAGTGGATGGAGAATGTAGCTGGAGGCTATAGTGACTAGGCGACTTGACCTATTGGTTCTAACATAGGAAAGGGCCAAAGAACTTAGTGGCAAGCTTCTTGTTTGCTCTCCATGCTAGGGATGTTTGCCGAAAGGGTTGTAGATGGAGAAAAACAAGGTCCCCAACATTGAATGCCCGTTCAATTTGTTTTGCATCTGCAACTTGCTTCATTCTATGTTGGGACCTTTGCAAATTTTCCTTGACTAGTCGAATGACTTAGTCTCGCTCTTGCAGGGCAATGGTCCACCGTTTCTACATTAAATTCATGCATCACATATGGAGAGTAAGCTGGGGCTGGGATACCTGATACCATATATAGTTTCAAAGGGTGTAATTGTGGTGGAAGTATAGAAATTTGTATTGAACCACCATTCCGCTATAGGTAACTACTAAGTCTTTTCTTTGGGAGGGTACCCCATCTTGCAACAAAAAATATTGCTCTAAACAATGATTCACAAGCTCAGTTTGGCCATCGGTTTTCAGGCGATATGCAGTGCCATATATTTTGAATAAACCTCGATGATATGTAATTGGGTGTCATATATTTTTAATAAACCATTCCAAAAGCTGCTGGTGAATATAGGATCACGGTCGTTGACTATGGTGCTTGGGGAGCCCATCTAACTTGATTATATTGTCCATGAAGCCTTGAGCAACCTCTAAGGCAGTATATGGATGATGTAGTGAAATGAGAGTACTTGCTGAGCCAATTGATCACTATGAAAATCACATCCTTCCAATGTGATTGAGGAAGGCCATTGATAAAATCTATTGATATATCATCCCAAGGGTGATCTAGAATAGGAAATGGCTGTAATAGCCCAAGAGTGGCTACATTTTCTGTCTTGTTAAGTTGACACACGTCACACTCGGCCACGTGTTTAGGGAGTGTGTAATTGGGTGCATGTAACGTGAATATATTGTCCATGAAGCCTTGAGCAACCTCTAAGGTAGTATATAGATGATGGAGTGAAACGAAATGAGAGTACTTGCTGAGCCAATTGATCACTATGAAAATCAAATCCTTCCAATGTGACTGAGGAAGGCCCTTGATAAAATCTATTGATATATCATCCCAAGGGTGATCTAGAATAGGAAATGGTTGTAGTAGCCCAAGAGTGGCTACATTTTCTGTCTTGTTAAGTTGGCAGGCGTCACACTCGGCCATGTGTTTGCGTACAGTAATGCGGAGGCCTTGCCAATAATAGTGCCTTTTGATCCGATGCATAGTTTTTTGGACACTAGGATGTCTCCCACAAGACCCATCATGAGTTTCTTGAATAATAGATGGTATTAAGGTTAAATTCAGCCCAAGCCAAAGTTGTCCTTTCTGTAGTTCCTTGCATGTTAAAACTGGAAATTGGGTCATGATGGCTTGCAAATCCTGAATGATATTCTGCATTTTTAGATCAACCTTCCACTCATCTTGTAGTTTAACAAGCCAATGAGCTGCTTGTGCTGGGATAGGTATTACAGGTATGTTTGAATCGAGGATTGAAGGGAGATAACTCTTGTAGGATAGGATAAAAAAAGTATGTGGGGCCCATATATCCTACGTTTGATAAATAAAAAATGCATCAGAAATCTCATTCGGATTTTATCTCAACTCAGTTTGAAAAATCAACTTTAACCCATCTATATGGGTTAAATGAAACCCAAGGGGGACTGAGATTTTTTTTTGTCAGACAAAGTAACTAATTCAAATAACCGAATTGCTCTCTTCTCATTCTCTCTCTCTCTCTCATCTGGTTCATCTCTTCCTCTTGTTTTTTCACATATCGAATTTTTTGTTCAACAAATTTGTTTTGTCAAAGTAAGACTCCATCAACATACTTCAAGAAGACCAAGACGTCTTCTCCAACAAGATAACTAATTTAAATAATAGACTAACTCTAATAAAGCAATATTTTATTTGGACTAAAATTAATTAACAGCCAATAATAAAATAACTAATTAATGAGAGCTTGAGTTAATTCTCAATAGTCTTTGTAACATATGAACATCCATCTAAAGGATATGAAATTGCAAAAATTTTAAAATTACATGTATGAAAATTTGTTTGGAATTGGTTAAAGGCTAATTTATAAATCAAATATAGTGTCGGATTGGATAGGTTAAGGGCAAAATAGTCAATGCTTATGTAATATTCAAACACTGAAAAAGATAGGATATAACCATTAAATCTTAACCAATCCGATTATAGGTGAGTTTGGGTTGAATAGAAAAGAATATATATGTTTTTAGATCTTCAATCCAATTCAAGCTTGTCATCCAAACACACCCTACATAGACAACATCTTCATATTGTGTAGAAAGTGCATCTTTTGCATTATTTTCACACCCATACGATATTTCAAAGTCATACCCAGTATAGTTAATCACTGGTGTTGCATTGGTGTGGTTGTGCGCTCCTTAATAAGGTACTAAAAGCTGAAATGATTTGTCTTTATTTAAAGTGTTGACCAATGAGATACGACACCCATTTTCCTACTACGAAGACCACAACTAGCATCTCCTTTTTATATGTAGAAAGACCCAATTTTTGGTTTGATAAAGCCTTTCTTGCAAACGCTATTGGCCTACCGTCCAACATTAGTATTGCTCTTAAGCCAATTCCTGAGGCATCACATTCAACAAAAAAAAGACTTGGAAAAATTCGGCATTGCAAATATTGGAGTTGTTGATGTGGCTACCTTAAGTCTTTGAAATGCTTCATTCTCTTCATTAGACCATAAGAATTTGTCTTTCTTTAACTTTTTTAACAAGTTAGTGAGTGGCTTGCTAACCTTGTCGTAGTCCTTAACAAAACATCAATAATTGCCGGTGAGTCCTAAGAACCCATGGAGAGCTTTAAGGGTCCTTGGTTGAGGGCAAGTCACCATGCTAGTAGTTTTATTGGGATCAGCTACTACTCCATTGTTGGAAATAATGTGGCCAAGGTATTCTAGCTCCTTTTGACCAAACAAGCACTTGGACCTTCTAGCGTAAAGCTGGTTTTAGAGTAAATATCCCCAAGATAACTTCTAAATGATGAAGATGGTCCTCCAAACTTCAACTGTATACCAAGATATCATAAAAAAAAAAAACAAAAGGATGAATTTACGTAAATGTGATCGGAATACCTCATTCATCACACTTTGAAATGTTGGTTAACCTAGAGGGCATAACTAAAAATTCATAATGTCTTTCATGAGTTCTAAATACCATCTTGTGTACTTTGTGGGGGTGAAATCAGATTTGATGATAACACGAACATAATTCCAA